AACTTTTAAGATTTGCTTAGTAGGGGCACCTGAGTGGCTTAGTGGGTTAAAGCCTCTGCCTTCAGCTCAGGTCATGATCCTGGGATCGAGCCCTGCATTAGGCTATCTGCTCAGCAGGGAGCCTGCTTCCCTTCCTCTCTCTCTGCCTGCTCTCTGTCTACTTGTGATCTCTGTCAAATAAATAAATAAAATCTTTAAAAAAAAAAAAAAAGATTTGCTTAGCAGCAGCTTTTGTATTTTTTTTAAGATTTTTATTTTTATTTATTTGACAGAGATCACAAGTAGGCAGAGAGGTAGGCAGAGAGAGAGAGGAGGAAGCAGGCTCCCCGCTGAGCAGAGAGCCCGATGTGGGGCTCGATCCCAAGATCCTGAGACCATGACCTGAGCTGAAGGCAGTGGCTTAACCCACTGAGCCACCCAGGCGCCCCTGTAGTTTTAACTATGGTCACTACGCTGTATATTACATCCCCAGAACTTATTTATCGTACAGCCGGAAGTTTGTACCCTTTGACCACCTGCACCCGTTTCCTGTACCCCACCCCCACCTTCCCCCTCTGGCAACTACCAGACTGTTCTCCGTTTCTAGGAGTTTGGTTTTACGGGATAAAACATCTAAGTAAGATCATACAGTATTTGCCTTTCTCTGTGCAACTTGTGTCACTTACCAGAATGCCCTCAAGGTCCATCCATGTTTCAAATGGCAGGATTTCCTTCCTTTTAATGGATGAACATCACTGGAATATTCCTGTAATTTCTCTGTAGGTATGAAAAAAATCAAAGTAAAATGCTTAATTTAAGAAAACAGGGTAAATACAGCAAAATGTTCATATTGCTTTAAATTCCTGGGTGCCTATTATTATTATTTTTTAGATTTTTATTAATATATAATGTATTATTTACCCCAGGGGTACAGGTCTGTGAATCGTCAGGCTTACACATTTCACAGCACTCACCATATCACATACGCTCCTGTTATTTTCTGTAATATCTGCGTATTTGAGTTAATCTCAGATGTCAAAAGTTTTAAAAGAAAATAACAGGTAGATATATGGAGTCCTACTTTGCATCTTTCCTGGAACATTGAGTTCTTTTCGTGCCTTTTTTGCCCTGGTACCCAGGTCATGGGAATTTTATTCACTGGACAGTCGTCAGGTTTTACACCAGCTTTATACAAGCCCTTGATTCCCGTGGTGTAGACTTTCTGGGTTCTCCCCCACAGGAGAGGAACCACTCAGCCTGCTGCTTAGTTCTCCAGTCTTTTCTTCTGGGTGTAATCTGGCTCCATGGTTCTGTGGGGCCAGGGTCTGCGTCCAGCTTCCTTTTCTCCTTCTGCTTCTGCCCTTAGCAACCTGTTTTCTGTTCTGTTCTTTACGCCATCAGTGCTTGAATGAATGAAAGCAGCCACGTAGGTTCCGTCTGCGGCTTGACAGCTTGGTCGCGGGTTCCCTTTGACTGTTTGGTGTTGTGGTCACCCATCCTGGACCAGAGGTTGCTAGGTACATTTAGGAAGGGTGTTGTGCACTGATGGGGCCTCTGTCTAATGTGTTGGGCCCCGAAGGGGAAAACCATTCATTTTGCTCTTTCTAGCAGGGATGGGTAGTGCCCTGGGGCTCAGAACTCATTGACGAGATAACACTTGATTATGCCCGTCTTGGGTAATGTTAGCCTCGGTGGGTTCTTTTTAAAAAGCTGGGTTTGGGGGGCGCCTGGGTGGCTCAGTTGGTTAAGTGTCCGACTCTGGACTTTGGCTCCAGTCACGGTCTCGGGGTCATGAGCTCCAGCCCCACGTCAGGCTCTTCACCGGGCACGGGGCCTGCTTGGGTGCGCTCTCTCCCTCTCCCTCTGCTCCTCCCACCCCACCTCCCTCTCTTAAAAAAATGAAAGAAAGAAACAGTCTTGGGTGTGGAAAACAGAGACCTGGTGAATTAATTTGGTTCAGTGCCCTTTTTTATTTTTTCTTTTGGACCCAGAAGCTTTCTGTACTAGACACAGTAGGAAGATATACAAAGCACCATACTTAGGTTCCTATGTATGATTTTGAAGACTCAGTGAGATGAAGGTGGTGGAAGTACGTCTGGAGAGATGAGTCAGGACGCTCCAGGTCCTGGCGTCCTAGGCTCCGGCGGCCGCTGAGCACCTGGCAGGTGTGTGCCCGGAAGCCAGGCTGGTCTGCTGCCCGCGGCCAGGCAGAGGTGCAAGACCTGCAAGCCCAGGCCCTCTTGCTCTGCCCTTCCAGTTACTCCCATCAGTTTGGCTCCAGCTGCTGCCTGGCTCCGGGCTTCCTTTGTTTCTGACAGCTGGCCCAGAAATACCCCTCAGGGCTTGATCTCTTCCTTTCCTGGATTTGTCCTTGAGTCTTCCCAGAAAGTTCTGCCCCTCCTGCTCACTTGGAGGGACCCCTTTCCCAAACCACCTCGTTTCCTGCAGACGCTGGGTCCGGGACCTCCCCAGCGTGCCCTCGATGGAGCAGCTGGCCTAGAGGGGAGGACTTAAGAGACTGAGGGAGCCTGGGTGGATCAGTGGGTTAAAGCCTCTGCCTTCGGCTCGGGTCATGATCCCAGGGTCCTGGGATCGAGCCCCGCATTGGGCTCTCTGCTCGGCGGGGAGCCTGCTACCTCCTCTCTCTCCGCCTGCCTCTCTGCCTTCTTGTGATCTCTGCCTGTCAAATAAAATCTTAAAAAAAAAAAAAAATTCTGCCATTACCAGTCACTAGCTCGGGTAGGGGTAACTTTGAGCTTCGGTTTCATCGAGGGCAAAAGGAAGAGAAGGCATCGTGTTCTCCCTTCCTCTCTGATTCAGTGTGAGGTTGAAAGGAGGCAGTGAGTTAAGGGCTGCTTAGTGTCCCGTGAATATTGGCTGTCTGTTGTCTTTTCTTCTGACCTTCCATTGCAGACGAAGAACGTTTACTTTTGAGCTCAGCACCGCTGTCATTTCTGTCTCTCTAGACTCAGTTATGTTTTCTTTCTTCCTCTTTTGCAAAAGCTTTGGTATAAACAGTTCAGTTATTTATGCTTTGGCGTTTTCTGCCAGCACATTGGGGTAGGTTTGGGAAGTCCCAATATAGGACTTGCTGCACACTCTCCTGTAGAAAGAATGTTACGACGTGTTGGCTATGCGCACAGCGAGGACTGTACCTAATGGGTACACGGGACGGACAGATCTTCCTGAGCTCCTACTAGCACGGCCCATTTTCATGAGCAAGCATTTGGACACTCTTCTCTGGGCCAGTTGCCCATCCATTTATAACCCCAGGGCTGCCTCCCTGTGTCTGCCACTGGGCTGGGTCAGCCTCGGCGGGTGGGACTGCGCGGGCAGCATTTAGCGAAGTCATGCTAACACAAGAGCTTTGTGAAGTCAGCCCCATGGTTCTAGACTGTTCCGGCTAGTCTGTTTTCATAAAATGCGAGAACTCAAGTTCAATGCGATACGAGAATTGAAAGGTCCTGGAAATCCGGGACCTACCCCCAACTCATGTCTAAGCCATTCCCAGCTGGCAAGAATGTACCCGATTGTCAGACACTTTCAGATGGTGTGTGAATTTTCACAGCCATCTCCCCTAAGGGCTCTGGCCAAGAAGTCCTTTCTTTTCTTTTCTTTTCTTTTTTTTTAAAGATTTTATTTATTTATTTGACAGAGAGAGAGAGAGAGAGAGAGAGAGGGAACAGAAGCAGGGGGAGTGGGAGAGGAGAAAGCAGGCTTCCCACTGAGCAGGGAGCCGGATGTGGGGCTCGATCCCAGGACCAGGATCATGACCTGAGCTGAAAGCAGACACTGAACAACTGAGCCACCCAAGCGCCCCCTAAGAAGTCCTTTCTTAATGCCTCTGGGCACAGAAGTCCCCGATGAAGGGGAACTGCTCTGGGTCCATTGTACCTCCTCCACCATCAGACTCTGCTCCCTGGACAAGAGCCCCCACCCCCTTACTGCCCTCTCCTGCCACAAGTATAAAGCCCTCCCCCTCCCCAGAGGGAGGTGACTCTTTGGGGCTTTTTCTGTCCCAGAGACAAGGGAAGTCCACCCAGGTGCCCTCCTACCGTCCCTTTCCCCTCTGTCTCGGGTGGGCGTCCCCCCACTTTTCAAGCAATAACAGCACTCGCTAATTACTTCGTACAGAAGAACGTAATGCTTACTGAGCAACTCCCGGTAACCAGGCCGCCTACGGAGAATGCAGGCATCAAGGCCAGCGTCCATTTGGGGAGCCGTGGCTTGGGAAGGCGAAGCAACCTGAGGTCACCCAGCTGTGGTTGGCAGGGCTGGGTTTGAGTAGAACCAGCAGCAGAGCCCAAGCACTTGGCATCTCTCGGCCATGCGGGGAGTGGAAGATGGCGCAGCTGCTCTGGGCCTGGGTTGCGGGTCCCCGCACCTGCCTTGTGCACCTGCTCCCCACATCTCTCTCCGCCCCCCCACCCCACATCCGTCCCCCTGTCTGCGGGGCTGCGCACTCCCACTCGGGCTGTGCTTTGGCCCATGGCGCCGTTTTCCATGGAGGAGACAGAAAACTGCTGATTTGCCCTCCAGTGACCCATCAGCAGATGCTCCTTTGGCCTTCCCTTCGTCAGGCTCGAAGCCCTGACTTCTCTGTTCTGAAGGACTCCTCCGCTAGTCCAATTTTCTGACCGACCCTCCTCCCTCTCCCCCTGCCCCATCACCCCTCTCTTCTCTCAGTCCTCACGTGCATTCAAGCAGTACTGTACATGTCTCCCTGCAGCGCTTTGAGCCCTGGTTCTTTTCTTGGCCATTTTTTCTTTTTTATATGGTGGTTTCACTTCTTTCCAAAGCCTTCCCCAGCAGAGCTCAAGCTGCCCTCACGACTCGTGTCGGCCGAAAATCTCTCAGATACTCAGCCTAAGTGCAAACCTCGGCGCCAGATTTTCTTTGTGACCTTTGCCTGGCATGGCGCTGTGTGACCCCGCTAACACGGGAGGGAGGGCTGGGGGTGGAGGGGCGGGTCCAGACCCTGCACTCACATTTATTTGGCACCATCTGTTTTTGCTTCTCAGGTACCCAGATAAGCTGTTTCTCCCCAAGCTCCTTCTCCTGGAGGCAGGCTGCCTTTGTGGATTCCTACTGCTGGGCTGCTGTTCAGCAGGGCTCCCTGCAAGGTGATTCCGGACGCCTTCCGCTGTGGCTGCATAAGGTAACTGCGGATACGTGCGAGTCTCACCTGTTTGCTCTGTCGATGTGGGAAGGGGGCCCCCGAGAGGCCATGCTTGTCCACGGCCCACAGAGACTATGGCCAGCCCGTAGCACCATCCCACGGATCAGACAGCCAGAGTGCTTTCAAGTCAAGAGAGACCTCAGAGATGACCTGGTCCAGCACCCTCGCTAGCAGCTGAGGACGCGGGGGTACTCTTTGGATTTTAGCTCTGTCCCAGGGAACATCTCTTATGTCTTAGTCCCCTTTCTCCCCTTACTGCCCAGTGGTGTCTGATGCAGAGTAGGCTCCCAGTGGAGCCTGGGTGGGCAGTGTTAGACGGGGCAGAGCTAGCACTCGCATCTGGCTTTGGCCGGTGCCTTTTCACTGCTAACAGGGTCTCCTGGCAAAAGTAAGGGCTGACGTACAGCTAGTGTGTTCTGCTGGAACGTAGGGAAGCCTGGTGAGGACTCCCTCCAGGGGTGTTGGCTGCAACACAGCCTTCGGGATAGATTGCTCTGCTCTCTGATAGGTCCAGATACCGCAAGGACGGGGAGGCACACTACATGGGAGACTCCGGCGTCCTGCAGAGAAGAGGTACAGACAGGAGCTCCGTGTTGGGGGAGCAGTGGAGATGGGGGAGACAGGTACATAGAGGATGGGCCGTGGGGAACTTGAGCTGGAGTCTGTGGGTTTGTGCAGGAGAACATTCTCTGTGTAAGGGAGTGGCTGCATTAGGTCTTCTCTGTGCATACAGAAGTAGGATCATGCGTTTGCCTGTCATTATTTTCAATCACTGGTCTTTTGTCCATTGTGAAAACAAATAGAAGATGTGTGTTCCTTCTGCTCTCCTCCTCCATTGAGGAAAGCCTGCCCTTGTACTTCCTGAAAAGCCACAGGCTGGTGTTTGGCCCTCTCCAGCCTTGACCTATTGTTGAACACACAGCATCCTTCTTTCTAAAAATGAGCAGTTTAAGTCCTTTACTATGACTCAGGCCTCTTCCCCTGTTTATTTATTGCATGCTCTTGGGCACAGTGATGCCTTACAATGACTCCTTTCTTCTCTGGGGTTGGGCTTTTCTCCTTGACTTTTAGCCTTGGCATCCGTTGGGTCCCCGTCAGCTCTGCACGTGTAGTAGCCAGGCCAGCCAATAACGATATGAATGGGCATAGTTCGAGAAGCTGAACAGCCTTGTTTGCAAGTGAAACCCATGCAGTTATGGCTTAGGTCCCTTTGTTGTGATGCTTTTGGGAGAAGGGAGGTTGTAATTTGTCACTGGGCTGGGCATTAACGGAGCCACAGAAGAATGTATAATCTGGCTTGTCTGGTGTAAGTGCTGGCAGGGATGTAGAGACTGTGAAACTTTTAGAGCAGGAAGAAACTCAAGGATTTTGCTGCAGTGTAAGGTGAAGGGCATCTAGAGAGAGCGAGCCGGGGACTCGGGACTAGTTGCCAGCTCTAAGACTAGAGTCAGGTCCCTGGCTGTCCCCTGCCCCTGCAGTAGAGAGGCAGAAACCGTATACAGCAGTGGGGGCAGCCAAGCCTTCTGTCTCCAGTGCCAGTGAGAGGCTGAGCGGCTCTCTTTCTGGTGGTGGTAGTCCAGCTTATTTGGATGGAAGTTTGGCAGAGAGATCTTTCCAGATTTACAGGGCTGGGGGCAGAAATTAGAGGTGGGACCAGCCAAGTTGGAAGGACCCTGGACAACACCCCAGGCTCAAAAGTCTGTACCTGGGGAGTAAGGGATGATCTTGAATTAGACCAGCCCTCATGGAGACTAAAGTCCTGACTTGAATCATTTCAGTACTGATGGAATGAGGAGATAGGGGGATCGTCAGTGCCTCTAGTCTGCCCACCAGCCAGCAGCAGAAATAAATCTTCTCCAGAGGCAGCTAACTTCATCCGGAGCCTCAAATCCTTGTCCAGGTTTTCACGTGTAATTTCAGGAGTCGATAAAGAAATAGCCAATGTCCAAGAATAGCGCATCTTCATTTGGGTGGTGTTGCATGTTGAATTGTATCCCTTAAAAGATGTATTGATGTCCTAACACCTGTACCCCTCGAATGGGACCTTTTGTGGGAACAGGGTTGTTGCAAGTGGAATTAGTTAAGGTGAGGTCCTGCCAGAATTGGGACAGGTGACTGTCCTCTGTGACTGGTGCCTTCATAACAGAGGGAAATCTGTTTGCAAACACAGAGGGAGGAGATCTGAGATGCTGGGGACAAGACGGCGTGTGACACAGAGGCTCGAGCAGAAGAGCTGGGCCATACCGTGCACGAGACCGAAAGGGTGCTCTGCTCGCGGCACTGGCGGGAGCCCGGAGCTGCCCACATCTTGGTTTTAGACATGCAGCCACCCAAACTCAGAGGGAAAGCATGGTTTAAACTGCCCAGCGTGTGGGCCCTGGTCAGAGCAGCCCTGGGGACTGATGCAGGTTGTCGCAGAAGCTAGGGCTACAGCCAGGCCGGAGGAGAGCCGAAACCGAGGGCAGACGTGCACATCCACGTGGTGGTATTGGCCCGTCCAGACTGCGTGATTCTAGCTGCTTTGTTTCCACGCTGATTTCCTCTTCCAGTGTTTTTGTTTAGTGGTGACAAAGTACACACCACGTGAAATTTACCTTCCTAGCCGTTCTCAGGTGTGCAGCTGTGCGGCGTGAAGTACGCTCATTGCCAAGATCTGTCTGACTCTTCTCGCCTTCCCAAACTGAAACTCCCAGCCCCCACCGTCCTGCTGTCTGCTGTCTGCTCTTCCAGGCCCCTCCTGTAGCTGCAGTCGTAGGAGATGTATCCTTTGACATCTGGCTTATCTCACTCTGCGTAATGTTTTCACGACCCTTCTCACATTGTCGCGAGACCAGAACTCCCTCCCTTTCTAAGGCTGAGTCAGACTCCATCACGTGTGTCCACCACATCTTGTGTGTCCCTGCCTCCCCCCCAGGGGCCCCTGGGTGGCTTCTGCCTCCCAGCTCTTGCCATGAATGCTGCACAGACACAGGTGGACGGGCATCTGCGTGAGCCCCTGCCCACCACTCTTGCAAGCATACACCCGGACGGGGGGTCGTTGGATTCCACCCCAAGTTTCCAGAGTTCTTCCCGGTGGTTTTCTTTCAGCCTCTCTGCATTCGGCAGACTCCTGATTGCCGAGTGTGGCTTCAGAAGTCTGCACGCTGCCCCCAGGCTCACCTGGTGAGCCTCAACTCCACACAGAAAGGATTTTCTGGCAGCAGAGTGGTGCAGAGGGGGGCCCCTTGATTTGGGACAGGCACGAAGGTGTGTGTCTTCTCTCACGGCTTCACTCCTTACCCTAGCTGGGCTTCCTTTACGCAGAAGCCCAGCTCCCAGCTGTTCTGGGCATCTGGCTGTGTCATCCCCACCTCCCCCTCTGTCATGCGCCCAGTCAGTCCTCAGCCGTTCACAGCTCCGGAGGTGGCTCACAGACCTTTCCATCCCATGGGAGCTCTGTCCTCCCAGATGATGCCTGTGACGCACCACCCTCTGTTCGCTCCCCAAGGACTTAACGCGTTTCCACGTGTCCTCCACTCCCATGGCCACCGCACTCCGAGTTCATTTTGGCACATCTGTTATCTACAGCGCTCTCCCCACGTCCCCAGCAACCCTGTGATGCCACGTAAATGCCTGCGTCCTGGGGCTTATCCCACCTGACTGCCCTCAGCGGACCATGCCGTCCCTCATTCTGCAGAAATGCTCCGGACTCTTGGGGCAGGGTCTCCTTGGCAGACTGCTTCTCCTTTGCCCATCACTGAGAAGTTGGGACTCCTCCGGGCCTCTATCCTAGACCCCTCCCATTGGCATGCCACCCCCTTCCCTGGATCATCTCACCTGGCATCTGTCTCGGCTTCCTCCCCTCTGCCATCAGTACCCGTGTCTTCATTGGCAACCCCCGCCTCTCCAGAGCTCCAGATCCGACCCCCAGAAGCTCCCTCCCCTCTAATCCAGCCACCTCCTATTGTGTTGCTCTGTCTGCCTGGAAGCTTCCTCTGAACCTCCAGACTGAGGGTTGTTCCCAAGTCCAGTCCCTTCCAGGGCCTGGCGGGGTCAACACGAAGCCTCCAGGACTAAGGCCCTGAGGCCACTGCATGGACAGCAGACTGCATTACGTGCCTCCAGGCGGGCAGAGCCCAAAAACGGGGCGCTGGCTGAGCAGAACATGAGCTGCCCCGCACTCTGGTCTCTGTTGTGCGTTCCCAGAGCAGCCTGTGCTGTTCCCGGAACAACCGTGGGAGGTAGCACATACTCGTCCGAATTCTACTGAAGGGATATTTTGCTAAACCCACAGGTTCCCGAGTCTCATGCAGCAGTAGGCGCCTAGACATGGCCTGTGGCAGGGGCTCAGAACACGTCTGTTGCAGGGGGAGGGTGGGGAAATGAAGCAGCTCCTAGGACCTGCTCAGGCTTCATTCTCTGGGAGCCTCCCAAGGCCAGGGGGAGGGCGCTGGAGGCCCAGGGTTTATGGGAACATCAAGTCAGGGCCGACACCAGACCTACCCCCAGGGAGCCCAAACTCCCCCCAAAGAAATTACCCATTGGAATATTTAAGTGTACATCCATGTGGAGTTTGTGGTCCCAGTATAAGAAATGCCGTGGTTCCCCCCAGCTACTTCTTCACGCTTCCCTTCCCTCTTCCTCCTCCACTCACTCCAGCTTCCAATAGCTCCAAGGAACGGCTTTTGTAGAAATGTGTGTGCAGTCAGGGGCACCGGCAGGTGGTGCTCAAGGACTCTCTGATAATGGGCCTTTTTTTTTTCTTTTAGCATTCTGTTCTTTGTTCAAGAGCTTAATGTAGGCAGCGGCTGGGCAAGCTTTTTCTTTTCTGAAACAGGAAATCAAGGTTTTGACTGAAACAAAAAAGCTGCAGAATAAGAAAATAAAATTAATAGAACGGACAAATCTTTATTTAAGTGGATTTGGTAAAACTTAGTTTAGAGGGATCCATGGAGATTCCCAGACCAGAGGTTTCCATACCTTAGCATTACCCCCGAGGG